CAAGAAGAAATGGTCTCAGTTTGTGCCAGGGGAGGTTTCTGTTCAGATATTAGGAACATTTTCTTGACTGGCAGAGTGGTGAGGCACTGGCCCAGGCTGCCCAGGGAGGTGGTGGAGTCCCCATCCCTGGAGGGGTTCAAAAAACATGTAGATGTGGTATTTTGGGACATGATTTAGTGGCCATGGTGGTGTTGGGTTGATGGTTGGACTTGATGATCTTAGAGCTCTTTTTCAGTGTTAACAACTCTATGATTCTATCATCCACAGCACTTACTGCTGTAAGTGTTGGGTAGTAGCAGCAGTGGAAAATTCTTGAGGAAAATTCACTTCTTGTCTCAAGATATTTGCAGTTTATCTCCAGATTAAATCAGCTCTGCTAAGCACCAGAGTCTTGGCAGTGCCACCACGCTGATGTTTCACTCCAGGATTTCTGCTGTGACTCTCTGGTAACAGAACTTACAGCTGTGGTGGAGAAGTGGAATGTCAATACTTGACCAGATAATGTGGGTTTGGGGTAGTTTTGGTTTTGTTTGGTTTGCTTCTGTGAAGTGGCAAAAGGGTTTCAAATGACAAGTGAGCTTTGAGTCCAACCTAGTTGGTGAGCCAAGAGGTTCCTTTTTTGCAGACAACTTGAAATGTCATAGAAACATGATTTTTTCAGACTTTTCTGCTGTTTCAAATCCCAGTCTTGTCAAGGAGCTGGAGGTGCTGACAAGTAGAACCTCGTGCTGTTAGCCCACGTGCAGGTCTGTGGGGGCAGCGTGGCGTGGCCTGCTGCTGTTGGGACATGTGAGGGGGTTGCCTTGTATCACAGTTTTTTACTCTGCAGACTTCCATATGTTTCTGGATTACCACAATGTGGCTGTACTTTCATCTTTTTCTTAAATAGGAGTGTGACCAGGTTCACATAGAAGATGTGGCATCTGATGACAACGGGCAAGATTTAAGGTGGTGTACTGATGAATGCATGAAATGCACAGTTGATATAATCTGATTTTTGTGGGGACTTCAAACTCAGATGGGGTTAAGGGATGGAGGTCAGCACTGTGTAGGGGATGAGGCTTGGCAAACGACATTTGTTTGCTGGGTGGTATTTCTTTGAAGACCTATAAAACATTAAGACTTTTGGAATTATAATGTGAGTAATATTGTCCACTGTTGAATGTTGCCTGTGTGCTCAGTGATGTGAGATGAATGGAGAACTAATGTCATGACATTGACCTTTGAAAGTCTCCCTGTGGTTTGCATCCCTCTGTGAGCTGATTGTGTGCACTGTTAGGAGGGTAAGTGCTGCACTGATGGGCTGAAATGGCTTCTGGAAAGGTCTGAGCAGCATCTGTCTGTCAGGGAGAAAGAAATATGGGGACAGTGATGAAGCAGGGCCTGGATCTTGCAGTCATGAGCTGGTAAAGCAGCTCATCTCCTTGTGGAGCTGCAGCTGTGTTGTAAACACACAAAAGTTAGGTTTGGAAGGTAATTGTGCTGGGTTTTATCACTGCAGCATGAGGAAGGGTTGGTGGGAAGGGTGCTCTTTGTCACAGAGGAGTGAGCAGTCAAAGAGCAGAGGAAGGTTTTGTAGTGAAGGGTGTGGAAGAAGAGTTGAATCTGCATTTCAGTACAATGGTTCAGAACCAGCAGCAAGTGCAGCTGGAGATCAGAGTGTGTTGCCCATAGAAGCTGATCTCCACTGCTGGGTGCAGAGGTGGTTGTGCAGAGTGCTCTCTAGCTGCTGTCAGAGCTGAGGTCTGCAGCCCCACCAGAACAGCTGCCGCGACTCTGCTGCTGGGGCACACCTTAACAGATCCACTTTTCTGAAACAGCAACTACAATTTCTCCACGGATGGCTTCAGTGGCTCGGGAAGTACGGGCAACCACAGCTCCTCAGTGGGCGTGCAGGGGGGAGTGGACTGGATGAGGAAGCTGGCCTTCCGCTACCGCCGCGTGCGCGAGATCTACGACAAGTACAAAGCCAACGTCGGAGGTGAGCGTCCCCCTGCGCCAGCACCTGAGCTCCAAACAGAACTTGTGCTGCCAGACCCTGTCCTTCCTCAGAGCTTTTGCTTTCCTGAGTGTTTGGACATGAAAAAGAGCCATTCTCTAGTGCTAAATGGGATCAAGTCTCTGTTGAATCTAAGAGGGTCCATCTCCCAGAACCACGCTGCCAGTGCAGCCCGTCAGTCACCGCGCAGGTAGGGATGGTCAGTCAGCCCTGCAGGTAGGAGCAGATCTTGACTCAGCTTGTACAAAAGGCTGCCTGGCACTGCTTGGAACAGGCCTAAATGACTTGCACACCGTGCTGCTCAGGAGGTCTTTTCACTCGTGTCTTCACAGAGTCTGTCTTTTATCCTGCCACTCTCAAGACATACTGTGCTCACCCTTTTGGCTGTTGTGCTCACGGTGTGACGTGACCTCTCTACTATCTGTTCACAAAATCTCTTTAAATCTCCTAGTTTTGCTTCCCTTCCAATGCCAAAAAAATAATAATGATGCAAACTACAGATATTGTAGATAAATTTTTTGTTCAGTCTGAATCTTGGCAGTGACATCCCTGGGAAAGGGGTGCTGCTGGAGCTCTCTCCTGGCAGGGTGTCTCAGCCTGGTGGGTTGCAGGTTTGAGAACCCTTTGCCTAGGCAAAAAAACAACTTGACCAAATTTTTTCATGGACACACTTTCCGAAAACGAGGTGTTCAAAACCATAATTTTCAGCCTTAAAAATCTATCAGTGTATCTCTGCATTTCAGTATGCTGCAACTACCTTTTTTCTGGTAGGGATCAGACCATTATTCCAGATTTTGCATGTGGGAAACCTGGATGCAAAGTTTTCCAGGACCTGTCTGAAGCCATGTAGTAAAGCAGTTGTCAGTGCAGCCCAGGAGGGGCCCCTCCATGGCTCCCTTGTTGGGGGGCTGCTGCACCTCAGGGCTGGAGCGAGGTGGGGAGTGTGCACATCGTGGCTGAGAATGGTGTGGAAGGAGGGTCAGACTCGAGGGGCTCTTTCTTCTTACATTACTGGTGGGAACAGGTTTGAGTGCATGGGCTCCATTTCTGGCTGCTTTTAATTCAAAACTGGATGTGTTGTGAAAAGATGTTTAAAAGGGGTAAAAAGCATGAGGATAAAATAAAAGAGGGGTTTAAAAAGATATCTAAAAGGGAGTAAAGTGGATCCTTGGGAATAAGGAAGTCAGAGAGTGATTGCAGGAGTTCCTTCCCCTGCTCTCTGTGGCCTCAGGCAACACCTACTGCTCTGAGTGCTTTGTACAAGAGAAATGCATTTTGTTGTCTGTATCCTGAGAAACGTTTTATTGTAATCAGAGAAAAGTATCTACCCAGCTTCCCAGAGTCAGGGTCATCTGTGTCACTGGAAGTTCACTGCCTCGAGACAGTTTCAGCTTTCAGATGCCTTCAGGACCATGTTGTTTGTTGCAGACCAGGCAGCTGCTCAGCTGAGCGATGGCTCTCTCACTGCTGGGCTTCCCAGCTCTGCTGAGCAGCTTTGTGTTGCTTGCCTTCCAGGCCTTCTTAGCCCACAGAAGAGGGAAGCTCTGCAGCGACTGAGGACTGACATAGAAGTGCTAACAGATTCCTGGCTGGAAACTGCATTAAAGTCCCTGCTACTCATCCAGTCCAGGTATGGAAACTGGAAATGCACAGATTGCTTTCTCAGCACTCCCTCTGGCTGTGTGGCAGCAGGGTCCATATGCAGTACAACTGCTCTGTGCCACAAGTGCTGGGGACCAACAAGAATGAGTTGCAGGAACTCTGCTCCTGAGCACCCCTTGGGATTTTTCCGCTGCAACATCTGTTGTTAGGAAGGTCCCCGTGACAAGACTGTGCTCACAAAATTGCATTTCTGCCAGAGAACTTCTGTTCAAGACAAAAAGCAAACAAACAAAAACCACAAATCAGAATCTTGGCCTAAAATACCTCTTGGAGGCTGGACCACAAAGCACATGGCACGGTGGAAATCTGAGCAAGTTGCCTGGAGAAGCCCTCGGCACCACTGGCTGTAGGCTTTTAGTAAACAAGTGTTTTTCTTCTTTCAGAAAAAACTGTGTGAACATCCTGATCACAACCACCCAGCTGGTGCCAGCTCTTGCCAAAGTTCTCCTGTATGGACTGGGCGAGGTGTTTCCCATCGAAAATATTTATAGTGCTACCAAAATAGGTAAGGGGCTGTGCTGAGGGCCTGGCACTGGGGCACCTGCTGTGGCTGTGCCTGAGCTGGGTTTTACACTGGGAACACAAGTTGTGCAGCTGAGCAGCCCCAGTGGCTGCTGTGCTCCAGCTGGCCATGGAATAGTGGTGGCTTTTGGCCTCGTGAGCTGAACTGGGTGTTATCCCCTTCCCAGTAAGACAAGAATGTGTTTCTGTACTGGGAAGAAGGGACCTGTTCAGGCTTCTGTTACTCTGCCTGAAGCTCACGGTGGTGGGATTGTCCTTTGGCAGGTAAAGAGAGCTGCTTTGAGAGGATCGTGTCACGCTTTGGGAAGAAGGTCACCTACGTAGTGATTGGCGACGGGCGTGACGAGGAGGTGGCAGCCAAGCAGGTGGGCTCCTGGTGCTGCAGGGCTGGGAGGAGGGTCGGTGCCAGGGGCAGTTACTGCAGCAGTTGTCTTCTGCACGGCCTCTTTTGCCAGGGCTGAACTCTTGAGGCTGGGACAGCTAGGGGGAAACTTTGCCTTTGATGCAAGAGATCTTTCACTGTGTTAAGATGAGGAGTTTTCTGCCTCTTGGGTTTTTAAAGTTTCTGATTTACTGTTGTTTAGGGTTGCATATAACATTGTCCCTGTAAAACAGTATCTTGATATAGCATGTTTTGATCCTAGTGTGCAGCTGTCAGGATAATGTGATTTTTCAGAAGCACAGAGGGAGTCAGGACTCGGCTGCCAGCAGTGAGATCAATACACAGCATCTGCCATTAGTCTGGATTGCAAACAAGGAGCAAACTGATTGATCTGGACAGGCTTGAATAGGCTGTTCAGGCCTGCTAGTGAAAGGCAGTGAAGGGTACAGATGAGCAGCAGGGCATCTCCTCAGCAGGCTTCACGCTGTCAGCCACGTGCCAGGGCTGTCCCCTCCCAGGTTCCCCAGGAGCCCTGCAGTGGCTCTCCTGGGTGAAGCAGCAGCTCACAGCTGAGCACTGAGTGGGCAGAGCAGCTGGTGGTCGGTGCCAGTGTCTCTTGTGAGCACATGTGCCAATGAGACAGGCTGCAGATGGGATGTGGGTGCCTGAAGGTGGTGTGCTCAGAACCACCGTGTGGCACAGCCCTGCAGGTGTACCTCCAGTGCCTCCACCCAGCTCCAGGGAACATGACTTTGTCATCTCTCTGTTACAGCACAACATGCCCTTCTGGAGGATCACAAACCACGCAGACCTCGTGTCCCTTCACCAAGCCCTTGAGCTAGACTTCCTGTAAGAAGCTGGAGCAAAGGTGTGACTGCAGCCCATCACTGGGGAGGCAGAAATCTCATGCATTTGGGGGCTCACTTTCCAGCTGGATGAAGAAAACACACCTAATGCAAACTGTACAGTAGAAGGTGACACCAGGTCATTTCCTCAGGAGCCTGTGCCCTGCCAAGTACAAAGGTGTCCTATAAAGAAGCACTAGACTCAGCAGTGCCAGAGCTTGTCTGGAGAAGACTCACAGAAGACAGATGAATTCCTCTAGCAGGTAGTCTCCAGACAGAGGGGGTGATACAACAGAAGTATTTGTAAGAGCTTTCTCCTTTCTATTCAGCTTAGTTGTAGAACCCATGTAAACACAAAACCTTATTTTTATAGAAAAATACTGATGGCAGAGCTGAACCTCCCTTGTTTCGCAAAGCCAAAAAGAGCTATGGGGTTTTTTTTAATAGGAAATATTAATGAAAATGTCAAAAATACCTCTATTGCTGTGAAATGTGTCCTCTCTCCTTCCCTGGCTGTTCCAAGCAGTTAATTTATTACAATGTTTTTGTGTTATTTCCTCATCATGGGATTACTGGAAGTAGAAGGATAAGGGAATGTTTCTGGGATATGTGGCTCCTTGTAGAGGGAAGTGTTGGTTGGTCCTGGTGGCTCCTAGTCAGTGTGTGCACAAGCCCTGTTAACAAGCAGGAGATCGTTGGATTCCAGCTACCCACAACACAGACCATAGATCCCACAGATTTTCCCTGTAAAGGAAATCAGAACTGCCTGTGAACATCAGAATGACCACAACCCTATTGCAGAGAGCTCAGATGTGAACAGAGGCCATGTCTGGACTAGGAGTGGGTTCAGAGAACTAAATGCTCATGTGTGTTACAAAGAGGGTGTGGTTATGAGTGTTCACCTCTGCTTTCCTGACTCCAGTTGTGAGAGTAAGTTCCTTTTAGTAGAATCAGATTTGATTTCCTTGTATTCTTCTTTGCATTAGCCTAACTATATAGTTAGAAACAAACCCCTTGTTAAAGAGGGACTTAATTTTCTGAGACACTGTGATGTGGCAGCCAGGAGCACACGGGCCTTGGAAGTGGCGGTTACGCTGATTTTTCTGCTGCCACCTCAGAGGAAGAAGCTGGAGTGAGTGACCTGCAGGACCCGAGGCCCTAAGGGAGCTGTGCCAGGGCAGGCTGTGTTCAGGTGTCTGCCTCCTCGTGGCACCAGCTCAGCAGGAGCCCGGGCCTCCTGCAGGGAGTGTGGGTGTCTGCTGTGCCCCAGCACACGCCTCCAGTGCACCCAGAGCTCTCCAGCCCTGCTCTGCAGCCCAGCAGCGCCCCAGTGAGCCCCGTGGGGACTGCTCGGGAGGCTCGTCCCCCAGGGAGGTGCCCACAAAGGCAGGTGATGCGTTGGCCACCTTCCTTTCATGGCGTTGGTTACTGAGGAGCGGTGCCCACGGGGCTGGGCACATCCCTGCTGGGCCCTGTGAGCATCTGCTGGGCCAGCTCTGGTCACCACCGTGGAGAAGGTGCCCAGGGCAAGGGCTTTGGATCCCCAGAGCTAAGGGTCTGGATGCAAAGGTCTCAGTTTCACATGGTCCTAGCTCTAGTTTTTCTTTTTTTTAAAAAAAAAATAAAGTCAGAGGAGACTCTCCAAGGCAGTCACAGGAATGAGGAGCTGTCTGCTTTCTGTCAGCTCCTTGCTGGGGCTGGGCTCCGGCTCTGAGCTCGGGCGGTTGCTCTGGGGCTGTGTATTCCCCAGGAGCTCTGCTCTGGGAGCTGCTCCCTGTGGAAGCTGCTCCCTGTGAGCCGTGTGGCCTTTGTTCCCATCAGAAAAACCCGAGGCACCGGTCCCTGCTGTGGGAGTTGGAGTGGTCAGGGGAGGGGCTGACCCTGACACTGGCCCAGCAGAGCCCCTGGGGCGAGCTGGAGACACGCAGCACTGGGCAGCAGGGCCTGAGGAGCAGGAGCCTGCAGAGGGGTGTTCCCCCACACAAGCTGGAGAGCTCTGGTGTTCCTGGGGGTGCCCACTCAGCCGGGGCAGCCCGTGGAGGGGTGTGCTGGTGTTTCACAGCAGCCTGGGCCCTGTGCAGAGCAGGGAGAGAGGCTGCAGAGCCACAGCCCTGATGCTGCTGGTTCCATAGAGCCCAGGTCAAATGGGCTCCCTGTGAAGTGGTGTCACTGTGTCAGCTGGAGTGGATCCAGCAGGCAGCAGGACGTGCTGAGAAGCAGCCCTACAGCTCCCAGGGTCTGAAACGTTACCAGAAGGTCTGGACTTGTGGCCACAGAAGAGTCTGTGCTGGCTCCTGAACATCCCTCTGTGGGCCTCCAGCCCATCCAAAGGTCTCCTGTAAGCAGGCTTGGGAGATGTCCCAGCCTGTGACAGCCTCTTCGGAGCACATTTCATACTCCAGGTGGCTGAACTTTGGGACTGAAACCTGTGCCTTAACCTCCCACCCTCCAGCATGGCTGCGCAGCCCCTCGGCTTCACTGGTGGCCAGAGCACTGTGCCAGAGTGCCACGCTGGCCCCCAGGGGGCTGGGCTGCACCCTGCCCAGGCACTGGCAGCGAGTGCCAGACCCAGGGTACCGAGCGCCCCGGCAGCTCCTGGCTCTGCTTTGTGTTTCTCTACTTTAAAATGTTTTAAGGGAATTTTAAGATGCTTGGCAGAGTTTTAGCCGAGTGTGGAACTCTTGCAGCCAGTGACATTTCATACTGATATTTATACGGTTTCCTTGAATGTATGTAAAGTACTTTTATAATAGGAGGTTGATGGTACATTTCTTTGTCTATGTTTAATAAAGGTTGACCTGGCTATTGTATTTGTTCCTCTGCTGGCTGAATTTAAGACTTTTCCTGTCTGGTGTGGCAGGAACAGCATCTGTCCAAGCATTGATTTTTCTTCTCTCTCTCTGCTCTGCTGTTACCCTGCCTGGATGGCAGCCTGGCCCCCCAGGGGCTGGTGGCCTCCCCTCCAGCTTCACTGCATGTGGAGGCTTTAAGAGAACCACCTAAACCCACTCCTTCCTGCTCCTCCCGGAGCCCTGGGGAGGTGGCCGTGCTGGTGCTCATGGAAAGCAGCAGGAAGCACCAGCCCTTACTGTGCCACGGACCCTGTGGCAGCGGGAGCAGGAGGAGCCCCGGGTGCTGCAGAGCCTTTGCCCCTGTGTGGTCTGTGTAATGGGAACCGTCTTATGAACTGGAAAAGAAAAAAAAATAAAGTCTATTTTCTGTAGTGACTGCTTCAGCCTGTTCTCTGAGACTCTGCAGTCAGTCCCTGTCCCCGGGGCTGGGGGGCACCCACGGCATTCAGGGCGCTGGTTGGCAGTGGACCAGCCTCTGGAGCCCCTGTTCCCTGGGGGCACCCTGTGGGAGCCAGCAGTGGAGGTATCAGCTCCTTGGCTCTGCTGGTGCCCGTGGGAGGCACACGGTACTTGGGTATTCCCCACAAACCTTCCCTTTTTCTTTTGCAGGAGGCCAACAGCCATCCTCCTGCCAACCTCTGCTGTGCTGCCACAGTCCTTGGCCTCAGGCCTAGCGTGG